GTGGTCCTTAAAAGCTGTGCAAAAATCAAGTACCTACTATTTATATAGATAATTTACTGAGTTGAAAGTGCTAGATAAGTATTACATGAGATTGGACCAGATGAAACTGCAGATTACCTATGATTTCAACCTAGCACAATGTAAGCATTCCCTGTTTCATATATAATTCAGTCTTCTCAAGGGTGCTACTCACTTCTCCCAGGATGGTATTATAATGAATTACCTTGGATGTTGGAGACTGAAGTTCATTCAACATTTACCAAACACATTCCAGACATTTTTCACCACAAAGGTTATTTACAAATCTAGGATATAAACATGTACCGGGAATGGGGTACTTTACATGACTACAGAACCTTTACTTCCACTTTTCAGGAGTGTTCTATCTTTAATTCTTTATAAAAACGTTAAGTTCTACTATCTGACGCTTTGATTCACTATAGAATAAGGATTAAGGTCCATCAAGGCTCAAAAGCTAGTAGGAGAGAATATAACAACATTTCCAAGATAACATCATTCCTTTGCTCAAATCCCTTCAATAATTTCTTATCTTACGGAGTCAAAGTCCTTACTACGGCCTATCGCCATTTCCTGCTACTCTCTGTCCTCCCCGAACTTCTCCAGGTCCCGTAAACAGGCAAGTACTTAAAATCCCCTCCCCAGGCCCTTTGCATTAAACTGTCCCTCTACCAGGAATGTTCTTCTCCAAGACGCCATCTCCTCCAGATGTCTGCTTAGTTGTCATCTCCTCAAAATGGACTTTTCGGACCAACTTACTAAAACAGGACTCTTACCGTACACGTCACTCAGTTTTTTTCTCTCCTGCTTTACTGTCTATCTTCCCCCAACAGGCTAAAAACTACAAGGAAGAGAGGCCTTTGTTTTATTCACCGCTAGATCCACACAGTCTAGAACAGTAGGAGGCTCTCAAGAATCTACTGAACAAGAAAGAGGGCGCACAAAGAGTGCATCTATGCCTGCCATTAAAAGTTCTGTTACAGATACTAAAAGGAAAAAGAAAAAAAAAGCCGAGAAAACAAGCTTGAAACACTGCTCGCTCTGCTGCTACTCAGAATAAAAGGACCACCCGTTTGAAGAAAATACTTTATTTTCAACAAAATACGCAGACAAACATGAATGCGTGCTGCAAGCCTGTTGGTACAGAATGCTTTGGTTTAACCGGAGGACTTCCCCAGGCCGTTTCCCCAGGAACCACAGATTCCGGCTAAAGATACTTAAAGGAATAAGAGAGCCCGGCTAACCTATTCATGGCATTCAAGTATTGGGAAATACAACATGTAGGGGTCCAGACACCGCAGCTCACAGCAAGATAACTGACATCGGAACTGGAGGTGTTTGCCACCTAGGAACACATAAAGGTCCCAAAAGGAGTGCACCCCTTTTCTTGGCGCCAGGCATGAACACTCAGTCTGGGGGTGCAAAGGGGCATGGAGTTTGGGAAGGGGGGCGAGGCCTGGACTCCGAGGAATGGGAGTGGTGTACCGGAGCCACCCTCCCCTCTGCCCCCTCCCCAGATTCTGGTTCAGGAGAAACGGAATGTGGACCGCCTACCCGCTCCCAAAAAGGCTCGGGGAGAGTCGACGAGGGTAGACCCCACCCGTTCCCCGAGATAAGCCCGGGCCCCAGCAGGGCTCCCCCGTGTCCGGCTCACCCGGCTCCCGGTTGATCTCGATGTCAAAGTGGCACTGCGGCCGGTCCTGCGCCCCCATCGCTACCGAGGCGGCGGAAAGAGCTGGGAGAGAGAGGGGGGAAAGCGGTCAGGTCCCGACAGGTCGGGAGCCGGGGCGGGGGCGGAGCCCGAGCCTCGGTCGCCCCGCGCCAGCCTGTCGCGACCGTGCGAGAGGGTGAGACGGCGCCCCTCCCGCCCCAGGCCTCCTGGCTCCCACACGGCACGCACACTCAAGCGGGCAAGCTCTTCACCTGGCTGGCCTCCAGCCTGAGCAGCTCCCCGTGCACAGAGGAGAAAGCGCGGTCACAGCGGCCGAAACCCAACGCCGATAACGGACCACCACCCCCTTCCCCCAGCCCGGCCTCCCAGTGCCACGCTAAACCCCGCGAGAGTCTGGACAAATACCGCGAGAGCGCAGGCTCGGAGAGCGTCTTGACCGGAAAGGAAGCGCACGTGGGCGTGTCCGGGAGCTCTGGAGAAGCCTCCGGTCCGGCGCTCCTATTACTGAGCTGGTCCTTCTATTTTTTTTGTCCCGCCCCTTTTCTCTACTGGAATCAGTCGCCCAATCTGGGAGCCCTGGACACGCCTGCGCTCTCACCTCCTCTGGTTCCTTGTCAAGGGCTGGGAGCTTCCGCGCATCACCGGATATCGCGAGGTTTCGCTGTTGACAACTTCAAGCCAGTTTGTGTGAATTAAGTCTTTGAGGTTTAAGCCCACAGTGCTTTTATAGCCTGTTTCCTTTTTTGCATCATATCCTCCGTAATACACAAGGCAGCCTCGAGCAGGGATCCCTGCTCCAACCTCGCCCCGAAGTAACTTTTACATTTTTATAACTTAGGGAAGGGAGAAAAGAGGTGAAGGAGAGAAAAGGAATCCCGTGAGAAGGTACAGACACAATTCTACCTCATTTGCTCATACTATTTAAGAAAATTTTTAAATATATTTTTACTGGTCTCAGAGAGGAAGAGAGAGAAACATCAATGATGAGAGAGAATCATTGATCTGCTGCCTCCTGCACACCCCCCACTGGAGGGTGGAGCCATGTCCTAACTGGGAATCGAACCAGCAACCTCTTGGTTCATGGGAATGATGCTCAAGCCACTGAGCCACACCAACAGGGCATGCTGTCTTTCTTTTTTCTTTATTTTAAATATATTTTTATTGATTTCAGAGAGGAAGAGAGAGATAGAAACATCAATGATGAGAAAGAATCATGGGCGAAGGCTGTCTTTAGAAAGACCTGCTTACAAGGTTGGCTTTTGAGTGGAATCTAAGAACTTGAATGGTAATCAATTTCCTGCAATTATAGAAAATATTCATTATATGATAAGAGTGCCTCACTATGCCTAAACTATTTATGCAAACACTATGACTTTTGCTCAACACCTGCTTTCCTTTTGGGAATCTGGGATTTAGGTATGTGTTAGGCAGATGCTTATGTGACTAGCTTCTAATAAAATATTTTGGGTACTGCCCCACCCCTGTGGCTCAGTGGTTGAGGGTTGACCTATGAACCAGGAGGTCAGAGTTCAATTCTCGGTCAGGGCACATCCACAGGTTGTGGGTTTGATCCCTAGTGTGGGGAGTGCAGGAGGCAGCCAATCAATGATTATCTCTCATTCTCTCATCATTGATGTTTCTATCTCTCCCTCTCCCTTCCTCTATTAAATCAATAAAAAATTTTAAAAAATTTTGGGTACTGACTCTGTAATGAACTTCCCTGGTAGGCAGTTCTCACTGGTCACACAGTTCATCCCTGGTTGAAGTAAGCTTGCCCTGTGTCACTCCGCTGGGAGGGGAGTTTAAACTTGGTTTTCTGTGGGCTTTGTCCTGTGTCTTTTCCCTTTGCTGAGTTAGCTTTGAATTATTTTGCTAATAAACCAGAACTGTGGTTTATATGCTGTGTCCTGTGAGTCCTCCCAACCAACCATCAAACTGGAGGGAATCTTGGGACCCATGATGCAGAAACAAATATTACCAGAACTTGGTAACAAAATCTATATATTGAAAATTTGGAAACACATGTTGTGAAATCCTAGATTTTTTGTGTGGAAAATTAGTAGACCATTTCATGGGGTAAGTAAAAAGAAGTATGTTGCTAAAATGACATCCTCATTATATTAGTCAAGATCAGATTGGCTTTGGCTTTCTCCAGGTGGAACAGGGAACTTGGCCATGGTATCTTCAAGCATACATTGTTATAGTCTGGCAATCTGAAGGGAAAGCATTTTTCCTGCCAGCACCAGTGAGCAAAAGTCCTGGGGACATTATGGTTGGCTTGATGAGCTTCAAATCCCATCTCCTGATGGCCATGGCAATGGGTAGATATCATGACTGATCAGCTTAGGGTAGAACCAGTAACCAGGAGAAAGGAATGGTGTGTGGCCACACAGAGATGGCCACTGGGGCAATTATGTATCCACCATAATTGTGGATACAGCATGCATCTTTTAGCCTTTAGGTAAGTGGCTTTTTTTTGCTACTGACTTGTTTTAAAGCATGGCTGTTTTCATAAATGTCTGCTGCTTCATTCTCTCCAGGGGGGTGTTTCAGTCTCATTAAATTCATATGAAAAACCCACTACACAAACACTTCCTGTCAGATAGGATCCTAACTCATTTTTTGTGGAGCCCAGCACAGGCCTGGTCAAATGAGGACACATTATAATTGAATTGAAGACCACATATGTGCATACTGCTCTATAAATGGACTGACAAGACAAATAATGGTTGGAATGAAGGGTCCTTGCATAGCTGTTGCTTCTGCCTGCACCACCGGTTCCCCTGATGATCACATATCAGGTTCCTTGTTATTTGTATCTCCTATGAGGGGTGCACTCCCTGTACCCAAAGGAAGCATCCTTATCTCTGAAGACAAGGGACACGGAGCAAACAGCCTAGCTAAGTTCCCCCCAGTTCACTACACTCAGCTCATACGACCGAGCAGAACTGGCCAGGGTGTTACGTGTATTTTTAAGTTCTTACAGTTTTCCTGGAAAACCAAATGGAACACTTATTACATGAAAATGTCTATACCTCCGTATCAGTCTTTTGTGGAAAGGCAAGCTTTATTTCCAAGCAACCTGACCAGAGCGGCCAGGGGGTCCAGAACTACAAACTAGTAGAAAGGAGGTCACAGTTACATGTTCCACTGCCAGGCTCTCGGTCGGGAGTCTCACCAGTTCCTCCTGATCGCCAAGCACCTGCGCAGGTTCCTCTTCAGGCTGACCCTAAGAAGGCAGGCTTGAAGAAGCCCGTGATTTTGTTGAACAAACACACCTATCTCCAGAAAGAAAACACCTGGAGGCAACTTGCGGGACTCTGCTTAATTATTAAAATAAATATTTACATGGAAATACAGTTATTTTAGTTCTTCACATTTTCACACTTAAAAGAGACACAGAGATTTCCTTCATGTTTTCAGCAGTGGAGTTGGTAAAGATCCTGCCTGTTTCATAGGAAATGCATTACTCCTCACGACAGCCACCTGGAAGATCATTCCATCACTTTTGAAGGACTGGTTGGGTTGGCATCTGCAATGGTAGCCAAATAAATGAGATTTCTGTGTAGCACATGCTGGTACCTACGGGTGAAAAACAGGCAAAAATTAGTCTTGTTTTTACTGAACGTGAACAAACAACTGGAAGAGAATTTACCTACTCTATGGAAAGGCTCATCCACTGACTGATGAGTCAGTGTTAGCCACCAACTTGTTTAACACGTTCAAGGAAAATATATCCAGAATCTTACCTGTTCTCACTCATTTCCATAGGCACCTCTCTAGACTATGGTATTGAACCAAACTCCTAAACTGGTCCCTGTGCTCTATCTCTGTACCCCTACTCTGTTCTCCACGTAACAGCCTGAGTGATCACTGTACAACTTAAGTTAAGATCATGTCCTATCTCTGTTTAGTACTTTTCAAAGGCTCCCATCTCATTCTGAGCAAAGCTGAGCCCTTCTCGTGGCCCACAAGGCCCTACAAGATCAGGACCTCTAGTTGCCTCTCTGATCTCATCTTCTACCATTTTCCCTTTGCTCACTGAGTTCTGGGTACAGCGGCATCCTTGCTGACATTTAAAGACATGGAGCACACTCAGCCTGGGGGCTTTTCCACCTCATGCTCTGCCTCACATACTGCACAGCTGGCTCCCTTACCTCAGGTGTCTCCTCCAATGTCACATCAGAGACACCTGGTGTAACACAGCACCCTGCCCCCCACTTACCCACACTTCATTCTTATTCAAAGAGTTATTAGCATGTGCTTAATTATACCATCTCCTCTGGTTGGGTTGGCATCTGCAAGGGTAGCCAAATAAATGAGGTTTCTCTGTGGCACATGCTACACAGAAGGTAAGCTCCACGCCTGCAGAGCTACTGTTTTGGTCCTGATTCCCCAGTAGCTAAGACAGTTCCTGGTACTCAGCAGGACTTACAAAATACCTGAACAAACTTAAAAGCAGGGATGGAATACCTCCACGTGTGCTTCCTATCGTAGCGATTCTCAGCCAGGGAGTCGAGCTCCCTACCAAGGAAGAACAGTCAGACTAGGAAGCAGGAGGCATGGCGGGCGCAATGTGAAAAAGCCCACCAGGAGACCTGGATAACTTTCTTACCCAGAGGCTGAGAATCACTGCACCAAACGGAATGCTTTGCAACTCTTTCTCATATAGAAAAATGGGAGTGTTTACTATAAGCTGCAAAAAAGCAAATGACCAAATACCAGAGTCAAATGTAAAAACTTATCCAAAGACGGATTATCTCTACTATTCCACTGAGCTATTCAGTGAAGGATTGTAGGTGATTTTTTTTTTTTTTTGGGGGGGGGGGGGGGGGAAGAGCATGGCTTTCTTAACTATTACTTCAGTAACAATGAAATAATGTATTTTTCTATAATAAACGGCATAATTCCTGGACTACATTTAGAAAACAGACTATTTCCTCTCACTAGAGCACATTAAATTACTGAACAAAATTTACCTCTGGCTTAACTTAGACATCTTTCATTGGTCTTTGTGTGTTAACGTTGCAAAGTTAGAAATGGGAGGGAACTTAGCAAGCAAATGGTCGGACCCCACCCAACTGAACAGAAAAAGGGTGAGCAGCCGGGGATCCACGATAAGACAGCCGCCGCCACCACGGCTCCCAGGAGCACGGCCACCCCTTTATTTCCTCTCAGGCTGCCTCTCCTAAACTCTAAGGGTCCCCAAGAGACCTGCAACCACGGGAGCAATGGGCAGTGGCAGCTCACCCCAGGCCAGCCCGGGAATGTGTCTCCGAGGCCCCTTTTCTCTGACTTTCCAGGGAGCACAGCAGCCCCGCCCAGGCTCTCTCCTGTCGCTTCTCCCACCCTAAGCCCTTCCTTGTGTCACTGTTCCCTGCTTTCATACACGTACCCTAAAAGCAGAAAAGAGAAAGCAGCCGCCAGTATCATCTCCTAAGACTACCTTTCCTGTGCTTCCCTCCCCATCCCCGCTGTCAGCAGCTGGCATGGCTTCGGGTGACGAAGGCTTTGCCATGAGCCTAACTCAGGTTTTAAGCGGGTGCCGCCTCTGACGCCAGGCTTCACAGGGTGCAGTCCCACGGTGCTGGGCAGGCAGTCCACCGCCCTGATCCTCCCCGGAAGAGCTCGGGACAGCGGCTGTGTCACCACACAGGCCTCCACGCCACTCAAAAGTGAGGGGAGGGCCCTGGCCGGTTTGGCTCAGTGGATAAAGCATCGCCCCGCGGACTGAAGGGTCCCAGGTTCGATTCCGGTCCAGGGCACATGCCCGGGTTGTGGGCTTGATCCCCAGTAGGGGGCGTGCAAGAGGCAGCCGATCCATGATTCTCTCTCATTCATTGACGTTTCTAACTCCCTCTCTCTCCCTCTCTGAAATCAATAAAAATATATTTTTTTAAAAAAAAAAGTAAGGGGAGGGAGCGGGGGACTTACTGGACGCACTCGTTCGCCCGGCCTTTGTTCTGATACTCCACGATACAGCGGATCAGCTGGTCATTCTCCTCCAGGAGCTGCAAGATCAGAGGAGGGGTCAGTGCCACACGACACCACGGCGTGAAGGAACCTGCCCGCGGCCTCACAGCCCCGTGCCAGGCTGTCCTGCCCCGGCGCCTCTGCTGACTTGGTTTCCCTCTCACCCCAACCCCAGAGTCCACACCCAGGCGCACGGTGTCGGCGGGGATGCCGCCACCCCGGGAAGCTTCCCGCACCGGCGGCCCTTCCGGTCCTCGACTGGGAAACCCCTCCCCTTGGTCCGCGTTAGCGCTCACCCGCTGGATGGTCTCCTGATTGACTTGCGCCTTGCCTCGCAGCCAGTCCGGTACGAAGGCCACCGACATCCCGGGAAGCCAGGTCGGAACCGGGTCCCAGGCCCCGGAAACCCCCGCGCCGCCAGAGCAGAGCCAACCAGCGGCTCCACACACTCCGCGGCAGGGACCCTGGGAAGATCGGGGTTAGGTCTCGACGTTGATTGGTCCTCCCGCTTAGAAGGCGGGAACAGGCGGAGCGTCATCTGTGATTGGACACGCAAGAGTGACGCTAGGCGTCCCTCGGGGCCTGGGCCTCGGGGTCCAGCTGTTGCGGGCGGATCCTTCGCGGTTGCGCAGTCTGGGAAGCGAGCTTGGGGCGGGGCCCGGCAGCAGCGCTGGCTTTTTAACCCTCTGCAGTCTGTACGCAGGAGCACCGCGCCTGGGTCACTCGAGAATCGGGGCTGGAACCCAGGAAGCTGGCTCGGCCAAGTCCACTCCTCTTCCCATATCACTCTCGTGCCTCCAGTTTGCGCCTGGAGGGGAACCCTGGGCACTGTCTCCTTACAAGCCAAATCCGCGCAGGGCCGAGGAAAACACTGCTGAGCTTTATGATTTGCGGAGGGACAAACTCACATATATATATACCTGTTTGTTCTTTCGGCAATAATAATGCTTTATGAGGTTTACACAAGGCATGAGTACCAGGGGGCAGGATCCCCTGGAGGTCGACTTGGACTCTATCATTACTCTCTCTTGGTTTTTGTGTTTGTTTTTTTTACATTGAACTGCAACCTGCATACTCAATTGACAACATTGACATCCCAATTAGGAGTCTCAAAGGTGACTCAAATTCAGCTTGTCTAAGGTGGAACTGAGGACCAATCTTCTCTCCAAAATCAGATCTTTCTCCAGTGCTCCCATATCGATGAGTCCCTCCACCACCTACCCATTCCCTCAAGGCTGAACAGTGGCATCATTCTTGAAAGGACCTTGTCACCCTTTCACATCCTTCATCACCACGTCCTGTTGATTTTGCTCATACACTTCTCGGCACGCTGCCTAGTTCTCTTCCTCATCAGCGTCGCTCTGGTCCAAGCTCCAGCTTCAGCCTCTCTTACCCAGATGACTGCATTGGCTTCCCACCTGGTCTGACCACAGCTTCCATTTGGGTCTTAATGTCAAGCAGCCAAGGTGATTTTTACAAAATGCAAACCTGTTCAGTATCCCACTGCCCTAAACTGTCTACCATGGCCTACAAGATCCCACCTGGTCTTACCTCTTCCAGTCTCCCTAGTGGCTCTCACTTTACTCCTTTACTCTCTAAAGTCAGAATTTCATTTCTCTCTCTTTTTTTTTGTGGCAACATAGACATAACATAAAATTTACCATCTAACCATGTTGAAATGTACAATTCAGTGGCACTTAGTACATTTACATTGTTGTGCAACTATCACCACCATCGATTTCCACCATATGTCAGCTTGTCCACCTGAAATTCTGTGCCTATTACATACTAACTCCCCAGGTGCTCCCCAACTTCTTGTCATCCCTCAAGGAGTCCCGTTGCCTTGCACACAGAGTCCTTCCTACGGGATCCCGTTCCCTTCTATCTGAAACGCTCTTTTCCTTTTTGTCCTGGTAGCTACTAAGCCAGTGTCACGTTCTCAGAGAGGCATCACCGGACAACAAAGTCCAGGCCAGAAGACGCCGTAAATTCTCTCTCTAAAAAAAAAAAAAAAAAAAAAAAAAAAAAAGCTTGCTCCTCCCTGAAGAGCGCATATCTCGGTTTGTATCTAAACACGGGTGGTGTAATTGCTTGATGGGTGCTCTCACTCTGCCCTCCACTCTTTGCGTAGTTTTCAGTGTCAGGAGTTCCTCGCCACGGGCGCAGTGCCTGGCATAGTGCCTGGCACACAGCAGGTGCTCACAACTGTTTGAAAGAATAAATGGGTGAACTCCGCTGCCCAGTCTCCCTGGAGCCCATCTGTGAGAGCCTCCGACCCGGACCGGGGTGTGTCCCTAGACTTTGGCATCTCTTCCAGGCTGGCAGGAGGCTGTGCTCTTTGGTTTGCCTATCTCGGGCCGGCCGCCCAGCCGTGCGGACGTCGGAACCCACGCCCGGAGCGCGCTGCGCCTTCACGCCGAACCTCCTCGCCTCGGCGCGTCAGTGCTGTTTGCTCCTCCGGCAGGAATCGAGCTTAGACCGTGAGGCCTCCTGCCACTTACCGGCGCGGGAAATACAGGCCTGGACCTCGGACCCTGCGGGTGAGCGCGGGGAAAGGGAAGAGAGTTGGGAGGCGCGCGCCCAGCCACGCCCCCTCTGCCTGTGGGTCGCGGCCCTTTAAGAACCACTTCATTCTTAACCCAGCCGGGAAGGGCGGCGGAGTCACGCCAGGATTGGTCGGTTCGGGTGCGAGTGTTGCTTAGCAGCAGCGAATGGGAGTTGAAGACGCGCGCATGCGCACTGCCCCCTACCTGCGCCTGGGCTGCCAGTGACCTGGGCTGGGTCTGCCCTGGGGGCTAAGGTAGCGGACGAGGCGGCGGGTGGCTCGGCGGCGCGGAGGGAGGCTGCTGACTCCCGGAGGCCGCCGTCCGGGAGAGGTGAGGGCTTGCGGGCGGAGGCGGGCGCAGCGGCCCGTTAGCCGACAGCAGGCGGACTTGGTGTGGCGCAGGGCGGGCCTGGAGGTGGAGGCGATTCCGGGCCCGCCCCTCCGGCAGGCCCAGCCTTAGCCCCGCCGGGCTCTGCGGGGCTTCCCGGAGTCGCCGGTCTCCCTTCCTGGTGCCCGCCGCTCTCCAGACTGGGACCCTCCTAGGCACGCACCTGCAGAACTGTCAGCTGTCAGTTGCGCACCGAGCGACGCTTCCGGTGGGAGGAGATGGGTGTGTCCAAAAGAGAGAGCGGGCGATTATTTCCTTAATTACCCACAAAACTCATGCCAGGAGTATCGTTTAGTTTTAATAGCAGACTTCCCTTGGCGTGCAGATCTTGTAAGATTTGGTTTACCAGATCGTGGCTGTACTGGACCAGCTTTTCTGAACACCAGGTGTAGGAGAGGTGGTGTACTTGTGTGTCCATTGTTAAGCTTACATCTGGACCTCCAGAGCCAGAGAGAGAAAGCACCCCGGGGGAGAATTAGGACTGGAGAAACCAAAGCCACAAAAAGAATATCACAAGTATTGAAGAGTAATTGGTGACATTTGCGACATGGTCAGACAGAATAAAGTAATACAATAAGTAAGGAGCCATTGCAACAGGTGCCTACGAACAGGTCTGTGATTAGTTTTGAGTATCAGTGCCCTAGACCAGTGGTCGGCAAACTCATTAGTCAGCAGAGCCAAATATCAACAGGACGACGATTGAAATTTCTTTTGAGAGCCAAATTTTTTAAACTTAAACTATATAGGTAGGTACATTGTTATTAACTTAATTAGGGCACTCCTAAGGCTTAGGAAGAGCCACACTCAAGGGGCCAAAGAGCCGCATGTGGCTCGTGAGCCGCAGTTTGCCGACCACGGCCCTCCTGGAAGGAATTGTTTGAAAGAAATGGAGTAGCGGTAATACCAAAGATTGGATTTGAGAAGCAGTAGTGTAGTGGAACGATTATAGGCTTTCGAGTATTTTGAGTAATAAAATCTGGGTTTGAATCCTGGCTCTACCACTTGAGCCTCGCAGCTACACTATTCACACCTGTCCAGTGCAGATCGTGCCTACTTCGTAGAAAGAGTTTCTAGCACAGCGTCTGGTGTATAATATTCGTTGCTATCACGTTCAGTCCCCTCCTTTCCTTAGCTCTTAACAAATGACAGTTGACCTCTACCCTCCTCCCCACCCCATCCCCAAGCAAAGTGGAACGGAGGCGCCTTCATGATCTACCAATCTTAAGTCCTGTGACTGAGAGTGAATTCAGTAAGGGTGACATGAAGGGTGACAGTAAGGGTGTTTTCTGTATTGTGTATATGAGGATTAGGCAGTACGCCTTATGGTGAAAACTTGTGTTTGAATATTTGTGTGCCAAATGCAACTTGTTTTGCCTGTTTAAGTTACCATTTCGCCAAGCCTGGTCATTTCTCCGGGAGAGGGTTAAGGATAAAGGGGAGAGGAAAAATAAAAAAACTTGGGGAACCAGGGTGGCCTCTAGCTAGGCACAACGTTTTTGCTGGTGGAAAAGGGGTTCTCTGTGACATGAGCAGTTTATAAATAGAGCTGAGAAGAGGATTTAGGAAATGGGGGAGGCAGATTAAAATATTTTATCAAATCGAGTCGTACCTCAGCCTGAGAAGGTCGCATGGAAAGGGTGGATTGGAGACAGGCCTTGACGTGGGTTTGGATATGGGGAGGTCAGAAAAGTGGCAGATATAGACGAAGAATAGGCACAGAAGTGACGAGAGTGGTGTGCATCCTGGGGGCTCCCAGGAACTGAGGTGCCGAAAAGGTTACGTGTCTAGAGCTCCTTGGAAGAAAAGCCCACCAGTGTGTGAACCTATTCACATCCTCTCGAAAACAGGAGCTGTGAGACGGGATGTGTGGGGGAGTGGAAAGACCTGTTCAAGCTGCAGTGGCCGCCTCACTAACCCCGGGCTGCGGGGCTGCCGCGTGCAGATGTGCATGCGATGCCCTGTACAAGCACCTGCCGAGTTCACAGATGGAGCTAAAACCCAGCCAGGCTCTGTCAGCAGAACTGGCCCAGGCTGCTTCGACCGGGGAAGTACCTTGTTCTAATTTGCCAAAGGCACCGTGACGGCTCAGAATCTGTTTCCTTTGTTTCTTAATGGTGTTCACATATCAAGGCCAAATATTGCGTATCTTCCTGTAATACGATTCGCTAAGTGATTTCTGTTAACCATCTGTGGGAGCGCAGTCATCATTTTGAAGACTGGCCCTGCATCAAAAATTTGCAGACATTCCGGAGGACCTGCTGTGCTCTCTCAGCTCCCTCTTTGCCCTCTGCTCTCCTTTCTACCTCCTTTAGGTTAGATGCTTGGGATCCCTAAGCTGCTCGGCACCCACCTCCCTGGGTGACCTGAAATGCACCGGTCCCTGCACCCCATGCCTGCCCTTCAGCATCAGGCACACCCTGCCCCTTTGGAGTCATCTTGCTACCTGTGTCCAGCTACCCACTGTCATTGCCGTTGCTCCTGAGCCCTCTGCCCCTGCCTCCTTGCTTCTCTGTTCCTTTCCACCTCATCCTGGTTGGTTTCATTTTGGAAAGGGAGAGATTCATTAGAGAAAAGGAACAGGAGGATTACAAGAAAAGAAGAGGCACGGAGGATAATGGAGGGAGGAAACTTGGGAGTGACAGCCATAGAGACCAGGGAAATAAGAGAAGCAACATTTGCAGTGATGGGGGGTGAGGGTGAAATGGAGCGCGCATTTCGAGGACAGGGGGTCTCTGGCACCGTCATCTGGTCCTCAGTAACAAGGTGACCTTGCTTCCCTCAGGTGTCCTCATGACTTCTCTTGCGGACCATGTCCATGATCCTCTTTGCCTGTGTGGTAAGGGTGAGGGATGGACTGCCCCTCTCGGCCTCCACTGACTTCTACCACACCCAAGAGTTTCTGGAAATCAGGAGACGGCTCAAGACTTTAGCCTTGCGACTGGCCCAGTATCCAGGTCGAGGTTCTGCACAAGGACGTGACCTCAGTATACAGTAAGCAAGCATGTTCACTTTCCCAGAACATCAGCAAAGCCGGGGCTACTTCTGTCATTTGTTCAGGTAACGTTATGCAGATCACATGGCATGTTAAAAGGAGACCTAGCCTGGCCGGTATGGTTCAGTGGTTGGGTATCGACCCAGAAACCGAGAGATTGTGGTTCGATTTCCAATCAGGACACATGCCTGGGTTGTGGGCTCGATCCCCAGAAGGGGGTGTGCAGGAGGCAGCCGATCAATGATGTTTCTCCCTCACCATTGTTTCTCTCTATCCCTCTCCCTTCCTTTCTCTCTAAAAATCAATAAAAACATTAAAAAAAAAAGTAGATCTAGCATCAGACAGTGGTCGGAGGTTGTGTGTGCGCACAATAGAGTTAGGGGGCCTTCAGCATTGCTGCTGCACCTGCAGCTTCTGTTAGTGGCATGCCCGTGGGCATCAGGAGACCCACCTTCAACTAGTTGTCATGCTTCTAGTATTGGAGATTTTTCTACACTGGATGCAGGGGTTGGAAAAAGGGTGAATAGGGAAGAGATACTACATTAAAATGGCAGGGAAGAAAACGGAGCGTCAGAAAGCCAAAAAATTAAGAAAAAAGACTTAAGAGTTCTTGCCTTCAGGTTTTGCTTTTTAAATTTTTTAACTTTTTGAAAAATGTTTAGCCGAAACCGGTTTGGCTCAGTGGATAGAGCGTCGGCCTGCGGACTGAAAGGTCCCAGGTTCGATTCCGGTCAAGGGCATGTACCTGGGTTGCGGGCACATCCCCAGTAGGTGTGCAGGAGGCAGCTGATCGATGTTTCTCTCTCATCGATGTTTCTAACTCTCTATCTCTCTCCCTTCCTCTCTGTAAAAAAAAAATCAATAAAATATATTTAAAAAAAAAAAAAAGAAAAACGTTTAAATTTAAAAAATTTAGTTACGTGCCAGGAGCCCGACAATGAAAAATAAGTCCCTCTCCTCAAGAGGCTTGAAGTATAATGAGGGAACAAGAGAGATAATTACTAAATATGATACAGGGCCTGATCCTCATGGTTTTTATCATTTCTTATTCTCGGTCTCAGAGCAAAAAGCCATTCTACGGAGGGATCAGGGCAAGGCAGGTTTTGAAATATCAGAATGGCTGGTTATAATTGTACACCATTGTTTTCTATCATTTAGGCCCGTGGTTCTCAACCTTCTGGCCCTTTAAATACAGTTCCTCATGTTGTGACCCAACCATAAAAGTATTTTCGTTGCTACTTCATCACTGTCATGTTGCTACTGTTATGAATCGTCATGTAAATATCTGACATGCAGGATGGTCTTAGGCGACCCCCGTGAAAGGGTCGTTCGACCACCAAAGGGGTCGCGACCCACAGGTTGAGAACCGCTGATTTAGGCCTTCTTTTGCTCCCAAGTGCCTTTTGCTCCCTTGAACAGTGAATTTCTAGTTGACCTGATAAGGTGGGATCCTTTCAGTGGAATTCAGTCTCAGACTCAGAAAACAAAAAGGAAAAGTCCAGGCCTGACTCCAGGCTCGGTGGTGGAGTCAGGTGAGAAGGGATGGGGCCCGAAGAGGGTTCCAGGCGGCAGGCACGTGCAGCTGTCACCCTGTGGTGTGGGCAGTGGGTGCTCAGGAGCCAGCCCTGCGCCCGCCCGCCATGCCCGTGACTCCTTCCTCTGGAAGCCTGTGCTGTGATAATGACATTCGGTGGGAGCTTCGCGCTGGACCGGAAACAGCATGCCTTTCTCTGTTAGGAAAAAAGTCCATGGCTTCAAATGAAACTCTGGGCGTTTCAGTTTTTTGAAAAGCGGAGTATAAAACCTTCTACTCATTTGTCTTTGCATTTAATAGTCACCGTTTTCACCGAGGAAACAGACTTTTTCCCTTACAGGGGAGCAGTGCCATAGCTTATTTTGTAGTTAAGGAGTTGAATTACTTTCCTAGGGTTGTCATAACAAATGACCACACACTGCCTTAAAACAACAGAAATGTATTCTCTCACGGTTCTGGAGTCAGGGTGTCAGCAGGGCGCGGGCGCCCTCTCAGGCTCTAAGGAAGAATCCTTCCCGTGCCTCTCTAGCACCTTCTGGTGGTTGCCAGCAGTCGTTGTCACTCTGTCTTGCAGAAGCCTCATGCACTCTCTGCCTCCGTGATTACATGGGCTTCTTCCTTTGGTCCCTAACCCATTATGCCTTAATCCATTATGACCTCATTTTGTCTGGATTACTGCTACAAAGGCTATTTCCAAATAAGGTCATATTCACTGGTACTAGGAGTTAGGACTTCAATATTTTTGGGGGGGGGGGCGGGGGGGGGGGGGGAGACACAATTCAGCCCATAAATAGGGACCCTCTTTCAAGTAGGAACAACTTCAGCCTAGAGACTTAGGCTCTGCTGGAAAATTCCTTATACGAGGAGGATGTCATTCTTGTTTAAAAATTGAAAACGTTTTTATATAGACTTTCAATTACAAAAAGGTGGTGGATAATATAACCTAAAAATACTTCTGCCAGAAACACCCAGAAATGTGGGTATATTTATTCATTTATATATATAAATTTTTTAAAAATATTTTTACTGGTTTCAGAGAGGAAGGGAGAGGGAGAGAGAGAGAGAGAAACATCAATGATGAGAGAATTATTGATTGGTAGCCTCCTGCACACCCCCAACTGGGGATTGAGCCTGCAACCTGGGCATGTGCCCTGACCAGAATTGCACCCAGGACCCTTCAGTTTGCAGGCCGACACTCTACCACCTAGTGAAACCAGCTGGGGATATATATATATATATATATATATATATATATATATATATTTAAATGTGTAGCTGAGCTTGAAAGAAAGAAATCCCAAGGTGCCAGAAATGCAGAAATGCAGGGGAACAGAATGTCCACGTGGGCAGTGTGTGAGCTGGCACTGAGCCTCCTGGGTGAACAGTCATAGTGAACTCAGGGTTAAGTTTCTGCATCATAAAGGGAGAGGCCTTTGAGCGTATGTAAAGTGAGGAGTTGGAATAAGACCCATGCGTAAAGACGTGAAGTTGTCACGTGTCTTGTCAGGGTGCAGCCCTAGAGCAATGATAGGGGAGAAATAGTCTGCTCACCAATGTAGGGGCAACACATCTCTCTTTGGCTTTGAATGGGAAGAAAAGATAAAATCTCACCTAAGAAATCGAAACCCTGCTTTTGTGCCTTGTGTCAGATTAGAGTCTGAGTTTATACCTTTTTGTTTTGTTTTGTTTTGTTTGTTAATCCTCACTCAAGGATATTTTTCCATTTATTTTTAGAGAGAGCAGAAAGGAGGGGAAGAGACAGAGAGAAACATTGATGTGAGAGAGACACATCGATTGGTTGCCTCCCACATGCGCCCCCACCAGGATGGGGATCAAGCCTGCAACTGGTATGTGCCCTTGACCGGAATTGAACCCTGGACCTTTCAGTCTGCAGGCCGACGCTGTAACCACTGAGCCAACCCAGCTAGGGCTGAGCTTATACTTTATACTCCCCACAGGCTAGGAATTCCTAAGCCACGGTTCAAATATCAGTGTCGGTTCCACACTGATGACATGGGAGCATCAGGCCAAGGCAAATGCAGACCCTCATGAAGAGTGAGCCTCAAGTCAGGCCTCAAGGGAGTCCCCCGGGAGAGAGCAGGCTCCGCAGTGATGAGCCGTCAGCGAAAGTGACAAACACTGGAAGAGAAGGCCCACAATGAGTGGGAGTCAGGAGGCAACACAGAAAGGGGAGTAGAGTCCCCAGAACTTGAAATAATAGCGTGACAGCCTGAAAGGAGTAGGTTTCATTTCAGGATGCCCGTCTGAGTCAGTGTTAGAACACCTTCCGATGTAGATTAAAAAAGAAAATCATTTTCCTCTAAGATGCAGAGAAGTCTGCGGCTACTTCCCTCTACTGGAACCTGCACCTTCAGATATGAGTAATGGCAGATACCGCTGTACATTCCAGAGGAAGTGTAGGAAAGGCGCAGACCCAGGTGGGTCTAGCTGAGGACACATCTATGCAACCCGCAGGTCCAGAGTGGAGGCGAGGTTGTGCCTGGGTGTGGCGGGGAGTCCATGGGTCTGCTCTTGCTAACGTAGATGTCGCCCTTTTGTTTCAGCTTTTCTTCTTCAGGGGATGTGGCCTGCATGGCTATCTGCTCCCACCGGTGCCCAGCAGCCATGGCCTTCTGCTTCCTGGAGACCTTGTGGTGGGAATTCACAGCTTCCTATGACACCACCTGCATTGGCCTAGCCTCCAGGCCATACGCCTTTCTGGAATTTGGTTTGTAACCCTCTTTTGTATTTACTGTTCTCGCTCATGGCGTGCGCAGATTTGTAGTTTAGATTTGGCTTTGACCCTCAAGGAAAGTCATTGGAGGTGTGGTAAGATATCACTGGAGAATAGCCGTGTAGCCTGAGATTTTACGGGATGGGAGAGGCCTGGGAACTTCGAGGTTTAACACTCTGGCTTGTCATCTCTCCAGAGCCTTGGGGCAGCTGAAAGGATGGTGAGAACTGTACGGGTCGGTCACCACAGCCCTGGCGAGTGGGGTCAGCAAACTGTGGCCCACGGGCCAAAAACTTGACAATAAATCAGTGCTAACATAAATAAAAGAATGAAAGCCAATGCCTTTCAAATACATAATCCTGGTTGGCACAGCACGTTCACGTTCATGTATAATTTTTTTCTCACATAGATAACCAGGTCGAGAATAACCATCCCCATTTTTTAAGCTTAGAAACATTCTGTGAGTTGTTAGGATTATGCTGTCACAAGTGGCTGAGCTAAGAATCAAGCCCTCTTCCCCCGACCCCCTTGTCACTGAGGTGAATTTCAGTCACTCTGCTCTGGAGGGGTTGGCATGACTAGTCATGCTATGGAGGGAGCACGTGACCTTTATGTATAACTCGACACCCTGGAGAGCCTGGCTGACATTCGCCTGATTGGAAATGCCACGTTCACTTTGTCCGTATTGCCTTATAACACCCGTTGAGAAGAAAATGCTCAACTCGGGGCGCTCTCTTGTTGCAGACAGCATCATTCAGAAAGTGAAGTGGCATTTTAACCATGTGACCTCTGCTCAGTTGGGGAGCAGCTTAGAAAAGATCCAGGAGGAGCTGGAGTTCCAGCCTCCAGCGGCTCTCACTCTGGAGGACCCAGATGTGGCAAATGGGGTGATGAACGGCCACACGCAGATGCCCCTGGAGCCCGGTAAGTGGCCTGCTGTTCTCGGAGGTTGCTGAAGGTGAGGGGATATTATATATTTCAAAGGGACATTGAATTCTTTCACTAGGAAGGTATTTATTTGGGGGCGGGGGTGGAAATACCTTGTATATTAATATATTTCCTGGGTGGCCGTTGTAAGAAACTTGACAGTTATAACAGTGAGTTGATCTGAGGGGAGGTGACTTTTATGATGAATTTCAGGGAAAGAGTGACTTGGCAGATTGTTTTCTTAACCAGGATGAAGTCTACAGGTTTGAATGTTGTCAAGGAGGTTCATTCTCTTTTCCTGGAAGTCACTTGTACAGATTTGTACACCTGTCTGTCTGTCTCTCTCTCCATCCATCCATCCATCCATCCATCTAGCTATCTGTTCTTTATCTATCTTTATTCCTTTGACAATGAATCTTTATCTCATCACTTAGTGAAATACTGCAAGTCTCCACTGAGAGACCCCGTTCTCCTTGATGGAGGGCCGGGAGGGCTATGGGATGAGTGTGGGCAGGGCCTGAGCCAGGGCTTCTGTTGCTCTCACTGTCTGGTTCTCCGTGAGAACTGGGGGCCTCCCTCTCTCCCTGCAGACACCTGAGTCCTTATCTGATGAACGAGGTGTTAATGAATGTGATCACATGCCCTGGCATTCTCTGGCAGTCTGGCATTACACTCAATGCCTGACATATAATGAAGCATGATTGTTAGCATTCCTTGTTTGTTTTTTTAAAATATATTTTATGGATTTTTCACAGAGAGGAAGGGAGAGCAATAGAGAGTTAGAAACATCGATGAGAGAGAAACATCGATCAGCTGCTTCCTGCACACCCCCTTCTGGGGATGTGCCTGCAACCAAGGTACATGCCCTTGACCGGAATCGAACCTAGGACCCTTCAGTCTGCAGGCCGACGCTCTATCCACTGAGCCAAACCAGGGCATTCCTTGTTTACAGTTACACACAATTAAACCTGCTCTTAGTTAAGGTGGATATTTACATTGTAAGAATTTTGTAATGGTGAAGAGCTGAATTTTGCTCTGAAAGAAAGAGCTGTCTATACTACAAAAATCTAATTATTTTAACTTCTATACTAAACTCATTGCTTGAACTTTAAAAGTTGTATATTAAAAGTGTTCATGCTTTTGGCTTAACTTTGTGTTTTAATTGAATGTTTTGACCAACAAATTCCTGGATTGGCTCTCAGGCTAGTCAGTCAGTTGTAATTTATGTTGGGAAGGAAGACTGGCTGGTTGAACCCCTCCTTTGCCGTATCTGAGATGGGGTAACTTTGTAATATAAGTTTTGTTTTTTAACCACTTAGACAAGAGGAGCAAATACTTGCCTATCCTTCTCGGACATTTTACTGTGGTTTGGCTCACCCTGTTGTCCTGAGGCTAGAGCCTGTGCAGGGAGCACATTCTGTTCTAACAGGAACATTGACTTGCTCGGTGGAGACCCTAACACTAACAATAGGCATCAGTGGGGTTGCAGCTTGCAGCAAGCTGTCTGTGTGTGCGTGTACATGGCCGTTTTGTGAGAGATGAAAGGACAAGGGAGGATGATTTAGAAAGAGCACAGCAAGAGAAATCCTGACTTAAAGCAGTTTACCGGTATGGCTTTATTTGTGAATTAGCTGTCAGTTTCTGAGAGCATTTCTCTCACACATCGACTCTCAGCTTGTAAAATGCTCCGCTCTTTTCTGACAAGGACAACATTCAGTGTCATGTGGGCTCCCGTCTTGTACTGGGTAGTGCTTTGTTGTGGGGGCCGGCTTGTGGATTGCAGGATGTGTAGGAGCATTCTTCGCCTCTACCCAGTGGGTGCCAGTAATGGCCTCTCCCCAGTGTGACCATCCAGAACGTCTCGAGACATTGTCACGTGGCCATTGAGGAAAATCCCCTAGATTCCCAGATCCATTCTGCCTGTCATTTCTTGCCCTTCCCCTTCTAACTACAGCTGCTTTTTAACTGAACATGCATGTTTAGCATAACCTGTCATTAGTGGAGGTCTAGGTCATGTCTTCATTTATTTCCTTTCATGTAGAAGGCATTTTCACAAGACACTTACTATCTTTGTTTTAATTGTGAAGCTCCTAATTTCCGAATGGAACCAGTGACGGCCCTGGGTGTCCTCTCCCTTGTCCTCAACATCATGTGCGCGGCTCTGAATCTCATTCGTGGCATTCACCTTGCAGAGCATTCTTTACAGGTAACCTTTTCTTTCCAGGTTAAATGGAAGGACACGTGGTGGAGGAAACTGATAACCTTATAACTGAAACACATATTTCATTTATAAGGTTATTATGTACTAAGGCCTTAAAATTCAAATAAAATTTTTATTTCTAATTTTATTCTTTGTAGTAAGTTGAACAAATATGAAACGTGCTCTTTCGTATCATTTTTCTAAGAAGCCAAAGGGGCCTTTGGGATACTGGTGAGAAATGGACAACTTGGTACAAGGGAGTCTGGTCCCCGTGGCCCTTGGGACCCCCGGAATCACTACAGGGCTGGGTTGTCCATGCTGGGCAAAAGTTTGAGTCTAGACTGATTGATATCATGCAGATCCCGCTTCTCTGTGTCCTTGTCAAAAACTGTCACCAGGGAGTTGACTTTCCAGTCTGCTCCTCTCAAAGCACCTTTCTAGTCTAATGTTTTTAAATACTGTTTTTAAATTTTGAAATATTTCAATCACTTTATAAGAGTCTAGAATCATCATGAGCGTAAGCAGGTATTACTTTCAAAGACAGAGCCACAGTGCTCATGCCCAAGTGCATGATGGCTGAAGTCTGAGGCATGGCTGCTGTTGAGTCTCAGGGCCCTGACGCAGGCCGGCCCGTTGGGGGAATGGCAGCAGGCCTGTGCTACAAGAGTGGTGGCTGCCTGTTACCGCATCCTGTCTTTGGCCGTGTGTGGTGTGGTTCCCACTCCTATTGTTTATGATGACTCATAACTTGTTACTTACCAATGTCTGTACACGCCAGAACTGGTGCCTGGCCAACACGATGGTTAAGACACAGTCCCTGTCTCATGGGCACAGAGCAGAGTATGGTGACGTCACTGAGGAGGCGCAGTACCTGGGCATGGGAGGAATTAGGGAAAGCTTGGGATTGACAGATGGGGAGGATTTTGAGAGGTGGCGAGGTTGTTGGGGGCATTTCAGGTTGAGGGCTGAGTACAGATGCGTGGGGAGGGTGCACAGTGTGCCCAGGTCATTGAAGACGATTGCATATCGACCCCTGGTTGATACATAAACAGGGACTCGTGTCTCACCCAGCCAGGGATTGTGTGGTGTCACCCATGCCAGACCGGATAGTGTTTCCTTTCACCTAAATATTCCTTTTCTTGTGTTCCTCCTATTTGTTTTAGGTAACCCATGAGGAAGTTGGAAATATTCTGGCTTTTCTTATTCCTTTCGTAGCCTGCATTTTCCAGGTGAGTGAAATGTTGATAGTGTGCTGAGTGGGTTAAACCCATGGCCTTATTTTGTTCTTTGGTTGGAACCATCAACACGTTTCTAGATTCTAATTTTGTTCCACCAAGGCCTTGGTTCAAATCATGGACAACGCCGGCTCTTAGCGGATGGACCCTGGGCCCATCCTGCCCTAACCTCTGATTTAACAGAGCGAGAACTTTGGGCTCAGCTAGGGAACGCTGGGCCGCAGGGCCTTCCATGGTGTCAGAGCAGGGATGTGGCCCTGCCTCCAGGGAGGGAGGGATGCGATGGCAGGGGCTGGGCGGGGCCTCCCTGGCTGCAGCAGGGCCTTGCCTCCTGTTGTTGTTGGGCAGCCCAAGTGCAGAAACGTCCTTCTGCAGAGGTCACGGCTGTGGCTGCATGTGTGTTTTTAAAACAAGGAGAGGTAAAAAGTGTTTTAAATAGTAGTACTGCCCTAGCCGGTTTGACTCAGTGGATAGAGTGTCAGCCTGCAGACTGAAAGGTCCCGGGTTTGATTCCGGTCAAGGGCACATACCCAGGCTGTGGGCTCGATCCCCAGTGTGGGGCATGCAGGAGGCAGCCGATCAATGATTCTCTCATCATTGATGTTTCTCTCTCTCCCTCTCCTTTCTTCTCTGAAATCAATAAAAGTATATTAAAAAAATAGTAGTACTGCCTGACTCAAATCTGCCCTTAGGGAATGAAACAAAAATTATAACATCAGAGAGCCTTGATTATTATTTAGTTATTTTCAGATAAGATGCATATGTAAGGGGTGGAGTAAAAAGGAGCTTTTGAATCTCCAAACGCAGAGTTAATTCTAGTAAAAACCTGGGTGTGATTCTCTTTACTTGTCCTCCACTGGGCTAGGATTTAATACTTTCTCATCTTCAAGTTTTTTTTAAAATTAAAATTTCTGTTCTTAGGGTACTTCCTCTCTCTTCCACACCCTAAATGGTGTATTATTAAAGAATTTCATGATTGTGCAAAAAGAAATTTTCAGCCCAAAATGGAAAATGCCCTCAAACTTTAGAAACAAGTCTCGGAAACCATGTGTGTTGCCTGTGGACGGTTTGTGGAGCTGCGTTTCAGGCTGCGGGATCTTACAAACCCCTCTTCAGTCCCGCAACTGCCTTCTCATTTGTTAGCTCTTTCCACGGGGATCTCTCCCTCCCCCTGAGCTGAGCCTTGGTCAGATTGCCCTGTGTTTTGAGAATGTACTTTTTTTTTTTAACATCAAAGCAAGAAGCTGTTTCCACCTTTTGCAGAACAAGAACAACCTCTTTTCCATGTGAGAGCCCGACACAAAATATCAGTCCCTCTCCCCGCTGAGACCTTCCCATCTCCGACAGGAAAGGCTTTTGAGGATGCGATAAGGGAGCTGTCTGGGGGACAGCAGACCCTGTGGGCTTGTAACTCAGGAAGCGCTAAGCTGGGAAAAGCATAGCTCCGCTCACCACCTTTCTCACCTGCCATGAGCCCCTGCGGGAAAACGGCACTGGGAGGCCAGTCAGGCTGGTCGCGTGTCCTGGCCTGGCTGTCTGCCCCTGACCCTCATCTCTTCTTCCTCTGCATTTCTGTCTGTATTTCCTAAGCTTCTTTCAGGAGTGCGATGTTCTGATTCCTCCTGTGATACCTGTTTCACTTTCCTTCTCTCTTCCAAATCTCCACTTCCCGCCAGTGGCGAACAGTGACTTACCCAGTGAGTGGCAGCCTCGTTGGGATGAATTCAGTTTAATAAGTTAACGTGGGTGAAATGATGCACGTGGCAGGTGTAAGAAGTGAATCTGGCATCTGGCCCGTGGCCATTTCACCGCCCGATTGGACCTCCCCTCCTGCTGTCATTTCAGTGTTACCTGTACCTGGTCTACAGTCCAGCCAGGACGACGAAGGTGGTGTTGATGCTGCTCTTCATTTGCCTGGGCAACGTGTACCTGCACGGGCTGAGGAACCTCTGGCAGATCCTCTTCCACGTGGGCGTGGCTTCTCTGTCTTCGCACCAGATACTGACGCGGCAGCTCCAGGAGAAGCCGGCTGACTGTGGAGTGTGAGGAACGGGCCCTTTTGTTACCACATGAGGGTCATCTGTGTTTCCCTTTTGGCTTCTCGACTTCACCTCCAGTTTCCATCCTTGAAGTTCATTTTGACCAGACGGGACTGAGCGAGACTGGGGACTTCTGACAGGTGCAGTGGAGGCACGGGGTCGCTCGATGCCCAGGCCCCATTTCGAGCTGAGCGTTACTGCCGGCTCTCCAGTTCGGACATTTACCTAGGACAGCAGGCGCTGGGCTGAATTCAGACAGAGCGTATCGGAAGACCAGAAGGGGATTCTTTTGGTCTTTTAAACCGAATGATGCAATAAACCACTAGATTCAGTAGTGCTAGTTTTAGTGATAGGCAGTTGTCTCTGAGGAACCGCGTTCAAATCCATATCAGCGTTTTAGTCTAAATGTGACTTGATTAGGTTTTTTGAGGGTCAGTACAGGGTGAATTAAAAACTTAAAAATATGGTTCATGAATTAAGCAACATAAATTTTGTTTACATTTTTGATAACAGGATAGTTATCAATATGATACTTTTAGAACAGTTAAATATATTTTGGATATAAATTGAACTTATCTACATTTAGGGTAAGGATAGACTTAGGCTGAGAAAATGGTTAAGAAAGCTCAGTTTATTTAATTTATAAATATAACCTTGTATGGTGGTGGGACAGTGTGGGTACGGCAATGTTTTGTATGTTTTTGTGCAGGGCATATCTGAATATTTTAAAAAATTAATTGAGCAAGATTCCTTGCCATGGGTCCGGAACTGGAGCAGGGGAGCCACACGGATTCCCACGGGCGCACTTTTCGGACGCTGGTGGGAGAGGCTGTTGCCGGCAGCCTTGCACGTACGTGGCAGCTGGGGCCTGTCATTTTAATGATGAACACTTGACTCTGTGTACCTGTTCCCAGAAGACCTCCCAAATTAATCACTCCTCTCCACCTTTCCCAGTCATCTTAGTTGGATCAAGGGCCTCATTTTTTTATGAATAAGAGTTAGGTAGGTGTTAACTTTTTAAAAACTTTACAAATATAGCATTAACCCTGTGCTCAGAAAACCTTTTCTTTATCTCACTGTCAAAATACTGAGTGATCATCGTTTTCCCCAACGTGGCTGTGAGTCCGATCTTAGCTTGTCTAGTGCCATCCAGGGGCCCGTGTGGAAGCTGCCCCTAGATTGTTGTTGGTAGAAGTCTGGGATCCGAATAGCTCAGCCACAGTTGCATGGGATACTTTGAGTGGAATTATGTAGTCTTGATAAGTTAAAAAAAATCCTATTTTGGTAGTTTTTATAAGTTAAAAGCAGTGCAAGAGGTATTGGGCACAGGAGAAGGAAGGATATTGTTTCAGTGGATTCGCCCTCCTTGGTTATTCCTGGTGGTGTGTTGCTACTGAGCTACCTTGGTATCACTTTAAGAAAAACAAGTGTATGTGGCTGGGAACTGTTGGGGAACTGTTGCCAGAGTGATTTTATTTTCTTATAATGGAATTTTCTATTTTTACTCAAATAAAATATCTGGATATGAAAGTCCTACTGGCAACACTCTCAGATGGAAACTTCAGCGTTGTCGCTCTATTGATTTTGGATCTGGATAATTCTGGCACATCCAGCAGGTGAATGCTCAGCCTTTCTGGGAGATCGTTTTGAGGAGATGGCGAAATAGAGGGGAAGCTAAGGAGGCGAGACACAAACTTCTATGGTAGAAGCACAAAGAAGCTGTAAAAGTTGGTAGAACAGCGTGCGAATGACTTGTTTTCTTTTCGAGCCCATGCGCTTGCCCTGCAGCCCCGGGCCCCAGAGGCCTTGAGCGTCTGAGCCTGTGACCCACTTCCAGCAAGCATGGCAGACTGTGCTGCGGGGTCCCCCTCCTGGGAGCGCCCCAGCAAGCATGGCAGACTGTGCTGCGGGGTCCCCCTCCTGGGAGCGCCCCAGCAAGCATGGCAGACTGTGCTGCGGGGTCCCCCTCCTGGGAGCGCCCCAGCAAGCATGGCAGACTGTGCTGCGGGGTCCCCCTCCTGGGAGCGCCCCAGCAAGCATGGCAGACTGTGCTGCGGGGTCCCCCTCCTGGGAGCGCCCAGCAAGCATGGCAGACTGTGCTGCGGGGTCCCCCTCCTGGGAGCGCCCCAGCAAGCATGGCAGACTGTGCTGCGGGGTCCCCCTCCTGGGAGCGCCCCAGCAAGCATGGCAGACTGTGCTGCGGGGTCCCCCTCCTGGGAGCGCCCCAGCAAGCATGGCAGACTGTGCTGCGGGGTCCCCCTCCTGGGAATGCCCCAGCAAGCATGGCAGACTGTGCTGCGGGGTCCCCCTCCTGGGAGCGCCCCAGCAAGCATGGCAGACTGTGCTGCGGGGTCCCCCTCCTGGGAGTGCTCCCTGCATTGGCCGCCATGGTCTCCACACTTGAGTGACTGTGGTCTTGGGGTTTGAGGTTTCCTTTTGCAAGTTAAAGGGAGAAGAGGACCAGCCAAGCAGTACAAACGCATGACCACACAAACACTGTTTAACTGAAATCCAGCTGAGAGAGGCCTCAGCCCACTGGAGGGAGAAACTGCTGAGAGGAAAGGAGGACGTGAGATTTCGTCCAAGGCCAGTCCCAGCTCAGGAGTGACTTGGTCCAGGCCTGAAGTTTTGAGGCCCGCACTGCCCCCCCCCCCCCCCAACCCCGCTGCCTGTGTCATCCTCACTGCCAGAAAGCTGGCTGCACGTGGCTGTAGTTACTCTCACTCCACCATGGAGTCAGGGCCGGTCCACCACCTCTGTTTTCCCAGTGGTTAAAGGCCACCTGCCCCACCCACCTCACAGGGTGAGGTCTGGGACAAGATGAAATGAAACCTCACAAGTGCCTTCAGGTATCGGCTGCTGCAAGAGCAGGAGCGTCAGTGTTGTGTCCTGTCGAGGGTCCGGGTAGGAATGTGGCTCGGGCTCCCGAGCAGGGTTCCCCTCCCCTGGGTGCCATGGGGGAGGCACCGGGATTCTTGCTTTCCGTGCCCCCGGTGAGCCTGGCTGTGACCAGGTCCTTTTCCTGAGCGGAGATAGTCAGCACCTTTGGGATGGGATTCCCTCTGGTACTAGAGGCCCCTCTGCCTGTGGCAGGAGGAATGTGAACGCTGTTGACAGGCACTGAGTCAGGGCCCAGCATTTTAAAGATCTTTGAGGGCTGTGAGAAGGGGGTTTGGAGGAGTGCTGAAACGAAAACATTTCATCATCATTTCATCATTTCTGTCAACCTCACCTTGAGCTCCATTCTTTTCCCAGATGCCCTTCTCCAGTTCTCCCCTCCTCTCCGCCTCTGCCCCACACTCCAGCCCCGGCCACAGAGGCTGACACTGGACCCTGGAGGGATGGGAAAGGCACCTTTCATTGTAACTGGTAGGGTGCGTACAGGAGCTTCAGAGAGGCCGCGGGCTGTGTACCCCAAGGAGCTTCAGCACGCTCCTGGGGGTCTGGCCTCGGAGGGAAGCATCGCTTCGGTGGTGAGCACTGCTCAGCGTCAGAGATGACCACCAGCCAGGCTGGCCATTTGGGGGCGGGAAGCAGGGGGTGAGGGATCAGAGCTGGGGGCTCTCTGTCTGCTGGAAGATGGCAGCTGCCCCTTGGCATGTGGAGGCTGCGGGTTGCACCCCCATCCCGGGCTGCCATTGGTCGTTCCTCTAAGGAGTCGGCCGCTCACTGTAACTGGAGGACAGGTGGCCCCCAGAGAGCCTGCCGCTGGCTCAGTCAACACGGGCGAGGCCTGAGGACCGGCAGGGTTGGGGGTGTTGGCTGCGACCAGACGTGTGCCCGCTCTGACGGCTCACATTCCATTGCTCCTGAACGGAGTCCTGCCCAGGTGCAGGGGAGCTCTGCCTGTGCCCTGAGTGTTCATAGAGGAGGAGCAGGGGAGAGCAGGTGTGCCCTTGAGGGGTGAGGCTGGGGAAGCGACACCACAGTGGGTGAGTCGCTGCCCGCCGGCCCCGTGTCCTCATCCGGGAGATGTGGTAACCTCAGCCTCTCCCCTGGCGTGCTCTCCTGAGGACAGAGGCGCAGTGGAGGAGGATGCTGGGCAAACCCATCCCTCATGGGCAGGACGGCTTTGAGTTCACAGAGATTCTGTGCCTGCTTCAGGTGGCGCAGCACAGCCCTGTCTTCTGGCCTTTACTAAAAGGGGCATTTTATGGCACTGCCATGTGAATGCCCTCATTCTCCACCCCCAGAAAGGTAGCAGCCTCTCTTCCACCCCTGGACCTGGCCCCTGCCTTCCAGGCTCAGAGCCTTGGCACCATGGGTGTTGGGTCCTCCAGGATTCTGGGGGGCCGGAGGGGGGGCGTCTGCTGGTTGAGACCTGTCCTAGAGACCCAGAGACCAAACCTCAAGGTCTGCCCCCAAACGAGGAGCGCTCTGCTTTTCCCGTGTGGGAGCAGTGATGTCAAATTCTGTTGCTGGGGCAACGTCATTGGCAGGGAACCTGTGGAAACGGGCTTGTCAGTAAAATCTGGGAATGGCCGGATATGGAAACATCTGGCTGTGTGTACCGACGGCGGGGCTGTTGCCCACAGGCGCCTTGTATTTAGGGTAAACTTAGCAAATCCATTCTGTCCCTCCAACCTGTGCTTGGTACATATGACCTTCCCTCCCCTTTACGCCTGTGTGATCCTGGGGTTGCTTCGGAAGTAGTGTTTAATGCGCTATTCACATGACCCCCAGGATTCTGTTTTGTTTAATGGACTTTTCTATTAAGAGCATAAATGACTGAGGCTGACTGGGCCAGGGCACCCACTTCACATATTCCTTTTGAATGCTTACTGTTTCCATGTAACAACAAAGACCTATTTTGACCAAAATGATGGGTACTTTTAACAAACTTCCGCACAGTAGTGAAGCCTAAACTTGTGTTCATGTATGTGGAGAATGTTGTATGGCATTATATACTGTGTATATGTACATTACATGAGGTGGCTTCAGGCGTGGGGGGAGAATAAATCCAAGGTGCTTATTAACTCGTGTGTCTGTATTTGTGTGAAAGATTCTGAGTTATGGGCCCACTTTCCGGGGCCTGGCACAATGGAGGGGGGTGAGTTGTGAGAAGGAAAATTCAGGTCCTCTTGTCCAGTGGAGTCCAGGCAGGTGCAAGGACCCCAAGAGTCTTCAGCACTAATCCTAGACTCTGGCTGCAGAAAGACCTTGGAAACCAGAAAAGCAGTCGCAGTGCTGCCCTGGGGGCTGGGAGACCTGCCTTCCTGCAGGCTCTGTCCCTGCCTTACAGCCACTTCCCCACCCTGGGCTCTGGGCTCCTGTCTGCTCCGAGGGTGATGGCAGTGAGTTATCTCCCAAGACCAGCCCCATCTCGAGATGGCCACCAGGAGGCGCAGCTGCCAGCCAGTCTTCAGGACTGGGCCCTTGTGCCGAGGTCCTCCTGGGCAGCTGATAAAATTCCCAGAAAGGAAACAAGGCGCCCACCTCTCCTGCTCACGCTCCAAGCACGTGGGGAAATGCATGCTCCGAGCTTCCCTCCGCCATCTGTCCTGCACGGAATCTTTCAGAGGAGGGCAAAGGCGTCCAAAATAAACATCTGAGTTTTTGAGTTCTGAGGTTCGGAGTTGGCAGAGCCTTTCGATACCATCTGGCGCAACCCCCTTCTCGTTGCGCGGGTTGGGGAAGTTGAGGCCCATCCTAGGGAGCCAGTCCAGTGTAGCCCCGAGCTCCTTCCCCTCAGGTCGGTTCCTGAGGGCCCTCGGAGAGCCAGGGGCCTGCATTGCCCCTGGAGAGCTTGCCCTGGGTGTGCCCAAGCTGGGAACGAGGTGCTGTCTCCCACTTGGCAGCACCCACACAGAAAAAGCGATCTTGGCCCACATAGGGTGCCCTTTCTGCGCCAGGAGGGCTGGCTTTTCAGTGGTTAGAGCATCAGCCCACAGACTGAATGATCCCAGGTTCAATTCCGGTCAGGGGCATGTACCTCAGTTGCAAGCTTGATCCCTGGCAATGGTTGGGGCCTGTGCCGGAGGCAACCAATCAGTGTCTCTCTCTGTTCGTTCCCTTCCCTTCTACTCTCTCTAAAAATGAATGGAAAAAGTATCCTCTGGTGAGGATTAACAAAACAACAACAAGAAAAAGAAGAGATTAGGACACGGGCGTGTACAGAGAGAAGACCGTGGGAAAACACAGGGGGAAGAAGGTGGCCGTCTGCAAGCCAAGGAGAGAGGCCTCAGGAGAAACCAACCTGCCAGCATCTTGGTCTCTGACGTCTAGCCGCCAGGGCTGTGAGAAAATAAATTCCTATTCCTCAATCCACCCAGTCTGTGGTCTTTGTTATGGCGGCTCAGGCTGACTGATACAGCTGCCTACCCAAATGTAGTGTGTACGTGCCTTTTGGAAACTTCATTCTCTCTCTCTCCCTCTCTCTCTCATCTCTCCTCCCCACTTCCTCTCTCTAAGCATGTCCTCAGGTGAGGACTAAAAAATAAATACATAAAAATAAAAATAATGCATTTGAGTGATTATCTACACAGGACCAGGAGCATGGGAGTTAGGTCTAGAGATGATGAGGAATTTAAAAAATAATAAAAGAGGGTCAGTGGTCAGT